CAGACCACGCTGTCAGAGCGGCCCAGGTGAGTGGCGCCCCCTGCACGCGGCGCTACGTGCCGCTGACGTCACGGGAGCAGGTTCCGCGTGGCCGGCGCGGCGGCGGCGGCCGCGGCGCGCCGCCACTCGCTCTCTGCCCGCCCGTCTGCCGGCCCGCGTGTCCGTGTGAGGTGCCGGCGCCCGAGTCCAGCGCAGCGCCCGCAGTGCCAGTCCAGTCGCCAGCCGCCGCCATGGGACGTCGTAACCAGCGCTACAGTGCCGTCGAGGAGGAGGACCTGCCCGAAGTCGGCTGCTGTAAGATGCCGGTGTTGGCTCGGGGAAGGGATGGGACGGGGCTGACAGCTGTTGCGGGCGGGCCGCGGCGGTGCCGCCAGTGCGCCGGTGCGCCGGCGCTGACTGACCTTTCGGGGTCACGCGTGGGGACCGTGGCCGGAGCTCCGGCGCCGGCCGCTGGGCGTTGAACCCGCACCGCCGCCGGCCAGGAGGAATGCTCCCATTAGGTGCGCGCCGCGCCGCCCGCCGCCGCCGCCGCCGCCGTCGCCGGCCGGTGCGGAGCCCGCGTCCAGCACGACCCGATCTGCCGTATGGCGGGGCGGCCTGTCATACATTTACGCCCGTGCCGTCCTGTCGCTGCTCCGCCACGCTGCCGCGGCGCCGCGTCCAGTCGTTGGTTGGGCGGCATTGCAGCCCGCCGGTCCGCTGGTCCCTCGGCCGTCTCGGTCGGTGGCGCGGCCGAGGGTCTAACCGACCGGTCCGCTGTTTTGCGAGGTTTCCCTGACTCCACGACGCGCCGGCCGTCTGTCGCAAGCAGGAATGTCTGCCAATAGTCCAGCGGCGGCTCATTGGGCGGCCGGCGTACAGCGGCGTGCAGCGGCGGCCGGCTGGTGTGCGATGGTCGCCGTCGGTGGCCGCGTCGGTCACTCCCTGCTATTCTGGGCACGGCGGGTCTTTGGTGGTGTTTGCGGCCTGCCCCGCGGGAGGATCGGCTCAGACCGTGCCCGGCGTTGGCTGTTTGTTCCGCGCTCTGTCGCCGTGCACGCCGGCCCGGACACGTCACCGCCGCGGGGCCGACGGCCGCCAGCTGTGCGACGCCGCCCGTCCGCCGCCGGGTAGTCGGACTGTCACGCCTGTGACGGATGGCCGCCGGCGCTGAACCAACGAGTGCAGGCGGCGGCGGCTGCCGGCTTCACGTGTGCAGCCGCCCCTGATTGCCCGGGCGGCGGCGGCGGCGGCTGCCGGCGGCGGCCCCGCCGCACCTTTCGCCCTTCACCTGCCCGGTTGCTAGGCGACTGCCAGGCACCGCCCAGCCTGCCGTCGACTCGTCGACGCTGTCTCGGTCAGTGGGCGGCGGCCTGCGGCCGCACGGAGCGCCGTGCGTCCCCTGGCGCCGCGGCTGCTCCTGCCGGCCCAGGGCTGCCGCGGACGACCGACCCGCCCGTTTGTGGGCACGGCTGATCTCACGGGCAGTTGGCGGTCTGCCGGTTCTGGGCACGGCTGACCGCACAGGCAGCTGACGGTCTGCCGGCTTGGGGTATGGATGACGTCACAGGTAGCTGACGGCATGCGCCCTAAAGCCCAAATAAAGCCCAAATAAAGCCCAAATAACCAACCAACCGGTCCGCCGGTTGGGGGCACAGATGGCGTCGCGGGCAGCTGGTGATCGGCCGGTTCTGGGCACGGCTGATGTCACAGGCAGCAGCTGCCTGTCCGCCGGCGTTGGGCACGGATGACGTCACAGGCAGCTGATGGTCCGCCGGCGTGGGGCACAGATGACGTCACCAGCAGCGGACGGTCCGCCGGCCGACACGTGCGCGGGCAGGGGGACTCAGTGCCTTAGAGTGCCTGTAATGCTCCGGAGTGCTCGAATTACTGCGGGCGTTGTGAGTCACGCGTAGCAAATATAATGTTGCTTTTACATGGCTGAAAATCAGGAGTTGCCCGTGCCGCCTGCTGCCTGCTGCCGCCGCCCACGCCGCCCATGCCGTCGCCATTTGCCCATGTTCATACTCATTCGCTTTTCGTGTTCATTTGGTTGGTGCTAATCTGCTGGGGTACCGTACGTTGGTCTTTTTCCAAATGTATTATGAAAGACTAGCTCACAAGAATGGATCGGTTCTATGACACTCCATCGGCATCGGCCAAAGTAGGAGTCCATCGACCACTCGGCATGTGAACTGGGTGCGATATGACTGTGAAAACAACGCGTGGTGCAACCAGGTAAATTGATGTTCCATCTCAGTTTGATAAGGCTAATGCCTGTGCATGAAGTAGCGTCGCCAAGGTTGTGTCTACTTGGATGCTTTGTTAAATGCCTTTTTGGTAAAGAGCCGGTTAATGTTACAGTGTTTGATGTATGTTACAAGGCCACGTGGTGTGGCCTTGGTCGTGGTCTGACATCACTGCTGCCAGAGACCAGCTCCACGTGCACGGGGCCATGAGCTCGGGCCTTTTGGCGCGGCCCAAACACGCGATCGCTGCAGTGGCCTCACTCGGCAACCCCAATCCGTTGACGGAAAATGTCCCTCGTGGCACGCGAGCCGGACGTGTTTTTTTTTTTCTTCTTTGTATGGCTGCAGCCCATGCCGCGCTACAAGGCGTCGCTGCCGGCAGTCTGTGGGTCCAGCCGTGCTGCCGCGGCCGGCGCCGGGGCAGGGGGCGCGTCCAGCCGTGACAGCGGCGCCGCCGCGTGCCCGGCCGTGACCGGCGGCAGGGGAGCCACTCCGCCTCTCCCACGGTCCGGCCGGCAGCGCACTGCTGTGTCGGTGCTGGGGCGGTCGGCTGCGCAGCCCGCCAGGCTCCGGGTCCGGGCTGGCGCCACCCCAAGCCGGCCGTGACCGGCGGCAGGGGAGCCACTCCGCCTCTCCCACGGTCCGGCCGGCAGCGCACTGCTGTGTCGGTGCTGGGACGGTCGGCTGCGCAGCCCGCCAGGCTCCGGGTCCGGGCTGGCGCCACCCCAAGCCGGCCGCGAGTTGACGTCACTGTTGGGGTTCGGGGCTGACGTTCCTGAGCGAAGGGCACCGAAGGACATGCGATTTGATCCTCAAGTGGCCTTTGCTCTTGGGCACTAGTCGAGGGAAGCGAAAACAGCGTGCTCACTGGACTCTTCCATCTGTGACACGCGCGTATCAGGTGTCAGTTTTTGTACAGAAACTTGACCGGTTCGCATGGTTCAAGGGGCATCGTGTTTCGGTGCGTTCTGCCGCTGTGTGGAGATAGCGTCAGGTCCGGCGGGGTCGTCCCGGTCAGACGGGAATGAGTCCTGTCACGGAGCAGTCGCACGTGGCAACCCGAGAACCCGGTCAGCCGACACGCTGCTCATCTCACGAACGGTGCTGAGGACCTCGCCAAACGTTTCGTTGGTCGTGAGGCGTATCGCCTGCTCTGTCATGGCCCGCCCGAGCATTCCCCGCCCGTTATATGGCGGGAGAGGGCTGAAGCTTGCGTTTACATGGCCGACATCGGCCGTGCTCGTTCCGTGTCGGGCGGCCGGTCGGAGCTGAGGTGGCCAGCAGCCCGTCAGAGGCCATGTGGGTGCTGTCGGCTCGTGGCCCGCTGTCGCCGGCGCTGCGTGGCACCGTCGGTCAGTGTTGCCGGGGGCAGGAGGGCTGCCGCGGCGCCGGCCGGCCCCGCGGCAGCGCGCACACGTCCTGCGGCACGGCCGCGGCTCCGCTCGGTTATGCTGAAGACCGCGGCGTTTCTGAGAGGAGAGAGACGCGAGGCCGCTTTCAAGACACAAGGGTGTGTTGCCAGTAGCAGCATGAACGCCTGAGACGACAGGGAACTTGGTGAAGAGTTGTGATGCGCGGAGGACGCACAGCGTTCAGATCCGCGTTTGCTGCGGTCGCCGTCAGTCGGGACCCCCCCGTGGCTGACCTTCCCCGACCCCGCGCATACCCGACCGGCAGCCAGGTCACGGCACCCGGCCGGACGGTGGCGTCATCACCGGCACCGCCGCCGAGCTCAGGCACAGCGGAGACCGCCGGAGACCAGAGCGAGAGGCCCACTGCTGGGCCGTGTGTGTTAGCACGTGTTGCACGTGAATCAGCAGAAACAGCTGTGTTGTTTCATCAGTGCGTGGTGTTGTTGGGGAGGCCTGCTGGTGGAGAACTGAAAAACGGCGGCAGTATGTGTTTCGCCTCAAGTCGCGGCGTCGACACCGTCCATAGCGCTAACTTACAGAACCTAATGAACGCTTAATTGTGAGCATTTAAGGTACAGATCATCGCTTCGTCCGCCTCAGTGTACATCAACTCTCGCCATGATTGGCGGGTTTTTTTCGCAACGCGGACTGATGGGGGGGGGGGGGGCGTTGATGTGACCCCCTCCTGGTGTTTCCAAAGTAATGAAGATAGAACTTTGGGGAAACCACCAGGAGGTTATTCTGAATGATATCTCGCGATTGGTACTGATTTTGATGCTGATAGGTCAATAACTGACCCCATCATGGCAGGCCAAATGTCCAATTTTCCAGAAAACCTTACTTCTTCAGGTTTATAACATAACATTATACCTGCGAGACCATGCGTTGTGGCGACACGAAGCATAAACAGGCGTGTTTCTAGTTTAATCATAAATGCTTTGGTGTACATTTGTACGTGTTCTGAGTATCCATTTATGACATATGAATCCGTTAATGTGGCGATGTCGGCCCGCCACGCGCGTCCCACGGCATTGTTGGTTACCGTCCGCGGCCCGCGCGGGCCGTAGCAGTGTTCCTCAAAGCTGCAGCTGCTCTGTAACCAGAAAAGCTTTAGAACGCGGTTTTGGTGTCAAAACACGTGCAGTGCATTCCCATGGACTACTGAAAATTTGGATGCGATCACACAAGGCAGGCTGCCGGACGTAAGAGCCATCTGAAGGGTGTGGCCGTCTCTGTGGAGAGCGTTGATCCGTGTGAGCCGCGCCGGCGCCGACGACCGCCTCAGGGGTGTGTGGCTCCGACGGTGGCCTCCCTGACTTCGGCCGGAGCCGGCTCTGACCCGCCCCTGTCGCCGTTGCAGTGATGGAGATCCTGCTGTGGCGCGACCCGAAGAAGTCGGGCGCGGCGTTCGTCACCGGCCTGGTGGTGCTGGTGTCCATGCTGTACTTCTCCTTTATCTCGGTGGTGGCCTACTTCTCGCTGGCGCTGCTCACCGTCACGCTCGGCTTCCGGCTGTACAAGACGGTGCTGGGCACCGTTCAGAAGACCAACGACGGACACCCCTTCCAGTGAGTACCTTCTGGGAGTAGATCTCTTCCAGTAGGGGGTACCTCCGGATTTCCAGGAAGTGTGGCTCCGCGAGCGACGCCCGTGATGTGTGTGGCTTGTGTGTGTCGCCCCATGCGGGTGAAGGCGTGGAACCAGTGAGTGCGGACCCCGGGAGGGACATCTTCTGTGGGTGACTCTGGGGATGCTCCCCTGCCCGAGGATGGTTGAGGCCTCTTAGAAGTGTGTCCCTTTGGTATCTTGGGTCTGATCTGGTGTTCGGACTTTATCACAAACAGTGCTTGATCTGTTTACCCAACTTTCATCTGGTCCCGGCGGTGACTGGTCCCGTATCACGCGATAACGAATTATCAAGGCGCAGATGGGGTAAGCGTATGGTTTCCGCAATGTTTGGTTTCTTATCTTGGGAGCGCTGGAAACGTCAAGAACCCTTTCGTTGACGGATGCCTGGTCATGCGTACATATGCACATACACGGCAACGGCCACACACACACAGACACACACACAGACACACACGCACGCACGCACACACGCACGCACACGCGCACACGCACACAGACAAACGCCTCCCAACGTTCAACGTCAAGTGAAATCGATGTCTAAATTAGCATTGGCGAAGAAAGTGAATATCTGTAAGCTTCGAAATGTCTCGTGCACGATTCAGTCGGCAAATTTTTATGAGGAAGTGTAAAAGGAACAGCCTTCGGACCAGGTTTAGATGAGAGCTTGCCCCTTCCATAAAATTATAGTGTTTTAGCGGGTGTGTGCATTCGGCGTCGCTGTTGCTTAAACTAGTAAAAAACAGCCCAACCTTCCAAAAAGTTACTCCTTTGCTTGTCATTCCATAAAGCATTGCTAAGAGGTCCATCTCGCAGCGGGCGTAGCCACTGATGACTGCCAGGTCCCTGGTGACTGCGGTATGAGTCGCGGGGGACGCTCCCCGTTGCTCACGCTCCATCTGTGTGTGCCTGAGCACAGGTGTGAAAGCCTACCACCGACAGTGCCAGTTTTTGCTTGAGGGCACTGTTGCGTTCTCGCGGAGCACCTGTAGAATGACCTCTAAACCTGCCTGGGGAGGTCGTTGGCCCGTATTGCTACGTCTCTGATGACAAGGCGACGCAGCCTCTCCCTTCTTTGACGGCGAACCCTCCCACCCGCATGTCCTACACCGTCCGTCGTTTTGTCCGGGAAGGGAAGCCTGCCCGACACGGCACACATTTGGAGGGTTTCAGCCGTAAGTGGGGCGCGGCTGGTGTCCCCTGAGCTGCCGGGCAGGTCGGAGGGCCGGCGACGGGTCGGCCGGCCCCCGCGCCGCCGCGCCCCAGGCCGCCCGACTCTGTCAGTCATCGATCGCCGAGCGTCGCTGCAACAGCGCCGCTCGTTACACGGGGCCGTTATCGACCGTCATTACATGCTCCACGGCCCCGGCGGCCCGCCCAGCGGCGCTGAATGACGCCCTCAGCCGCGGCGGCTCGGCATCGGACGGGGACCCTGGGACGGGGACTGCTGCCGCGCGATACCCGGCTGTGTGGGATCACTGGGTCAGGAGGTCGGGATGCTAACGGGGATCACACGGTCCCTGAGCCCGCTCGCAGCGCCCAAAGCGTCGAGCGGAGGACATTGATCCGGGGGGACCGGCCCATTGACCCAGTGACGGCCATTGGGCGGGGCGGGCCCGATGGCCGGGATCAATGAGTCAGCAGGGCTGGGCGCCGACTGGCAGCCGTTGCGTGAAGTCGACAGGGCCACCTGTGTGAGTAACCGAATGACGGGGCTGTTGCCGCGAAGTTTTCGGGCGAGCGTTGCTGCCAGGGCTCAGGGCGGCGATCCGGCGCAGACTCTGACTGCCGTCCCGGGCGGTCGGAGTCGCTGGCCACTGCGCCGGCCGCTGCTGAAGCGTCGATGGCGCGCTGCACATGGCACACACGCTCCGCCCCGTCCCTGTGTCATAGTGCGGCCCGTCCCTCAACGGCCCGTCGGGCCGCTGAGGCGGCAATCGGCCGATCGGTCGGCGGCCGCGCGAGCTGCTGACTCTGCGGAGGCTCCCCTTTCCTGACTACTGTACAGTATGCTCGGGATTGTGAGGCAGCCGTGTTGCCTTGTGCGGGCGGGTGGACCGTGGCGCTTTCACAGCAGAGGCACCGTTGCCGTGCTACACACGGCACGCGCGCTCAGTCCCGTCCTCGTCTCATAGTGTGCTTGCGTGCGCGGGTCGCTGGGGAGGCACCGTTGCCGCGCTACACACGGCACGCACCCTCCGACCCGTACCCGTCTAATAGCGCGCCCGCGTGCTCCGATGCTAGTGTTGCCGCGTCCAGACGAGTGTCCAACTCTGGCTGCTACCCCCTCCCCTGTATTTCTGTCGCAGGCACGGCACTTTGTGGGTTTGGGCACGGATACGAAGTCTCCTATCCCCTTCACACGTCCCCCTGTCCGTGTGTCGACACTCACCGCGTGCCGCCCTGTGTGTGGAGATTGTGTGGTGTCTCCGTGGTGTGATGGCGTCCGCTCTCAGCTGCGGTCGGTGCCCTGCGGCGACGCGGCGGCAGCCACTGCCGATCTGACCTCGGCTGACCTCCGCAGGGACCTGCTGTCCGTCGACACGACCGTCGAACAGGAGAAGGGCCACGAGATGGCCAACAAGGTGGTGGCCGAGCTCAACTGCTGCTCCAGCACCCTCAAGGACCTGTTCCTGATCAAGGACATGTTTGAGTCCATCAAGTTCGGCTTCGCGCTCTACCTGCTCACCTACCTGGGCGCCTGGTTCAACACCATGACGCTGGTCATCATGGGTGAGCGCCGGAGGGCTCGTGGCCCATTGGGCCGCTGAGGAGGCAGTCGGCCGCGCGAACTGCTGACCCTCTGCGGGGCTCCTCTGCCCTGACTACTGTACAGCATGCTCGGGACTGTGAGGCAGCCGTGTTACCTTGTGCGGGCGGGTTGACGGCGGCGCTTTCACAGCAGCGGCGGCACGGGCTGGGGCTTGGACGTGTCGGTCGCTCTCCGGGGACCTGCGATGATGCCTGTGGCGCCGGTGTCGGGCGCGGAGATGACGCCTGGTCCCAGTGTCCCTCTCACGCCCAGAGTGATGTGCGGCTCTCACACGTGTGATCTGGGATGTCCTGGACTCACGTTTAATTCGTACTTGTTTCAGCCTACGTGGCGATGTTTACACTACCCAAGGTGTATGAGCAGAACAAAACGAAGATCGATGAGGTCATGGGACAGGTCAAGGAGAAAGTCGGCGAGATCTCAGCAAAGTAAGTAGGCCTCCGGACAGGCCTCGAGCGTGTTTGGCACGTTCGGTGGGGGGGTTTCGCCCATTGCAGCATTACATCACGCAGAGCCTTGACGCTACTCCGTGTCGTGCTTCCTATGATTCTGATGGTCTGTCCCGCGTGAGGCAGGGAGTGATGTCGAGGTCATGAGGGGTACCCCGCGAGTCTGCTGGCCAATGGAAATCAGTCTGATCGATGAGCAGACGAGTGATGCTCTGGTGGTAGCCGTTCCCAGAGCCCAGCCCTCATTCAGCGGGACAACGAGTGCGGTCTCAAGCTGGCGTCGCGTACGCCTGTCCAGTCGGCCGCCGTGTCCATGTACAACCGGGTCAAGCCCGACCAGCTGTGTGTGCGTTGCTCATTGTCTGTGTCGGTTTGCACGTGATGCCGCGGCGAGCCCCACATCCACCGCTGACCTGACCTGACCTTCGCTCGCAGGGTGAAGGCGGCCATCCCCATGGGCAAGAAGGCCGAGCCGGTGACGGAGGAGAAGAAGGACGAGTGAGAGGCCGGGGCGGGCGCGCGCGTGACGACGTGAGGCGTGACTGGTGCGGGCGTGAAACATGACTGCAGGCCCCGCGGGCCCGGTGCGGCCGGCCGTTGGCCGAGTGCCGCGTGCTATGTGCCGCTGCGTGAGCGTGAGGGCGTGCGGCAGGTGGGGCCGCCGGGGGGCCTGGCGGCCACCAACTGGTTTGTTTTCTTCTCTCTATTTAAGCAGCCTCGTATGCAAGCACAGTTGTAAATAAACTGTTCCCGCTGTACATCTAAACTTACCCTGGTCGTTGGATTGTTGCGTCCCTGGCATGGGAAGAGATGAACACGTTCGTAAATCACGATGGTTAGCGTCTAATAGCCGCTATTCGAGTTGCATGTGCGATTGTATCGCTCGTTCCGTTCAGTTGAAGAACCCGTTATATAGCTATGGTGTCTGTACAGCTTCCGTCACGCGCAGACTTCCTTTGGTTTACGTGCTTTGATACCAATAAACAGGAAATGTGAGCTTGTCTGTCATTGCCGAGGTCTTGCACCACATAACGGCGGTGGCTACGGCAGCCCGACGTCAGCAGCTTCAGGCGGATACGTCGGAGAGCCCCTGAGAAAACTTTATTGTCAGATGTGTCGCTGTCGGTCGAATGTGACTGTCGTTTGCGTTGCTAGACGCGAATAAGAACTTTGTTATTATTTCAGCTCGTAATCGTAATGCATCTGATCGCCCGCGCGGAATAAAAATATCGCCAGCATCCAAAACAAGGCGCGTATTGACCGTAGTCTAGAATAGCCAGAGAAAATAGAGGTCCTTCGACCCCGCACTAAAAAAAAAAAAATGAGGGCCTTACGTAATGTTTACATTCTGTTACTGAACACTCCCATGGGTAGGATGATGAATGTCATCCGCATTACTGCGAATATCAGCAGGATTTGATGTCATGTTTGATGAGGGCGAAACGAGTATCTTGATGTGGTTGCGAGATGTAGAAGAAGCGAGGTCGCAGCTCTGCGACGTCGAGGAGTAACTATGTCTTCATTCCTGTTTATGAGCGCCTACACTTGGGCTCAACAAATCACCCACAGGCGTTCGGACAATCACGCAAGTTTTTGAAAGTATTGTACCTTGGACGGATACGGCGATGCTGGCCGCATTTATCACACAACGTGGAGAACTGCCAGGTTCTCACTCCTTTATTTCCATTTGAGTCCCATTAAGGATCAGGAGTGTACCGTATTCAGTTGGTGGGATTCCAGTCCCCCCCCCCCCTCCCTCCAACTTTCCCATTAGCACCTCACCCAGCTTCGAGAGAGAAAAGGGCAAATCCGTGATGAAATTTGATTCCTCACGCGAACGGGATGATTTTAGACCTTTTCTTCTGACTACACACCTAAACTGACATTGAAAAGCGTCATTCCACTCCGAGCTTTTGCAAACATGTACTTGAAACGTCAAGAGCAGGGTTCTTTGAGTCCCTTGTAATGTGATCCAGCAGAGCTCCTTCCAGTCCCCGCAAGCGATCGGCGGTCGGCGTTGCTCTAATCATTTCGAAATTTTGTATCACAGATGTAGCATCGGCACGTGGCACTAAAAAAGAGGTACAGAAACGGCCTCTTCATCCTGGCGCCGACCTGAGTTATACAGAAGCTTATGCAGCAAGGAAACCTTGATGGCAAAACTTCACGGCCTGCTACCTAGTGGCAAGTTAAGCAACTATAAGTTATCGTCATGTTTGCTAGATGGCTAGCTCTCCAAAGTAGTAAACAACCTGCACTCAGCTGTTGTAGAAATTTCCGTCTGGTTGCGGCGCTGCTATTGGCCTGTTGTCTGAGCGGAGTGTCCGTGAAAGGTGGGAGGGTCTGACACCAATGGTTTAGCATCTACTGCCTGCGTCAATTTGTCCCCAAAATCTTGCTGAGCAGTTAACCATGTCCAAGGTTCATCCAACAAACAGTGAATATGAGAGGCGCAAGCAAATCAGTGTCCGTGGCATCGCACAAGTTGAGAACGTCGCAAACATAAAGAAGACTTTTAATCGTCATGTCCATTACACCTTGGTGAAGGACCGCAATGTCGCCACGGACCGCGACTACTACTTTGCACTTGCGCACACTGTGCGTGACCACCTGGTCTCTAGATGGATCAGGACGCAGCAAAATTACTATGAAAAGGATCCCAAGGTGAGTCTCCTTTTTGCATAAATTGTGGGGTTATTTGTCCTCCAAGTATGTGAGTACAGTGCCTATATCAGGAAGCCTAAGTACATACCTACTGAGTCTAAGTAGGTGCCTAGTGACATGTATCCCTCAATGGTGTTGTACCTCACTGTATCCACCTAGTTCACATGTGGCAGTGCCAGTGGCATTTTGAAGGCATGGGAACTGGGATGTTAGGATGGCTATGATGGCTCAAATCCTGAACATTTGGGCAAATTTTCTGCTAAGTTTCTGTGGGTATATGAGAAGAAGTAATGCAAAGTGAGACCTGGGCAGCAGTGCCAAAAAAACAAGCTTTCTGGTCAATCATTCTGGGCAATTAACCTGTGTCTTAGGCTAGAAACTGCTTGTCAGGCTTCTTCAGGTAGCTCACCAACTTTGTAAGCTAAGATTATTTCATTGCTGAAAAGTTGATGGAGCAAAAGCTGCTGTAACCTGTAAGGTGCCTTTTCCCATTATGTGATGGGGGGGGGGCTTCTTTTAATCCTCTCAGCTTTATAAAGTGGAACTCTGCTGGTGAGTTCAAAATGCAATGCTCCATCTCCACTGCTAATTGACTTTACGTTTTGAATGCATAGGCTTCGCTAGAAGACCTTTGATAAACATGTATTGTGTAAGCCCTGAATTCACCATTTAATCATAAACTTTCAGCTGAGCTGCAAAATGTTGTGGGAAAAGTTTGACTTGTCATAATGATCTGCATGGTCTGCCTCACCCTCTGACCTTATCTGGCCTTGAGGTTCACTCCTATCAGCCACAGGCCATCCCAGTTAGCCACAAAAAGGCAACAAGTATAACAACTCAAACCCAGCTCGGCAGGGGTTTGTTGGGAGGTAGGCTCTCTATATCATGGACCTACAGGTCCATGGTCCTACATCACAGGTCCTACATCACAAATAATGGGTCATAGTGTTAATGCTTGTTGCATGTTGAGCATAATTGTTTCAGTTGTAGTGTCATCTTGCTGATGGTGAGCTGTGAGCAAAATGTCCTGTTCCATTATATGTATGCATATAATATAAGAGGAGTCATGCCAGAGATGCTGTTTTGGGTATACCAAAGTGCCTTTAGTTTTTACACAATTGTTAATAGTAGGTACTATGTTTTTGTTTCATATTAGCAGTACTTGCAGCATCTGTCTGACAAAACCTGCAGCAAAATCAAAATGATTTGTCAGATCATGTTGATGGGGTTGGTTTGTTGAGATCATGGACCCCACTAAGCAGTGGTCATTGTCCGATTGCCGGCATTACCATCTGGTCATAAAATTGTGTCAGTGCAATGGCAGAATTTTGCAGCGAATGCTTACAGCTGAAAGCCACACAATGTTTACCACCACTGGCATGCCCTTTGACAGCACTTAACCTTTATCACAACCTCTATCACTGACCACAGGCCATTCCAGTCACAGCTTGCAAAATAGCAAAACAAACAGCCAGCATCTTAAGTGGCTCAAACTGCTCCCTGTGGGTTGGGTAATGAGAAGGCAGGCATTCTACCCCACTAGACAGGCCTGCATTTGGTGAGCAAAAATTACTGATAGTGGAAACATGACAGATAGTAATGCACCCATTAGTGGGGCTGATGCATCTTTAGGATAAACACTGCAGTGTACAGAGTTGCACAGGAAAAATAATATGATTTTTTGATAGCATTGCAGAATGCCCCAGCCTATGGGTATGTAAAATGTGTTGTAGCATCATGAATGCCAGGCAGTTGAGCATGCACTTGATCATGGGGATGGTGATCACCATCATCAGTTTCACATGGAAATGAAAAATTGCCTTACTAGCTCCATGTGTTTGACATGTGAAAAGTGGGCAAGGAACAGTCAGGTGCATGTATGTGTGGCCCCCACTTGTCCCGCATCCAAAGGAGACCCTGGATATGACTGGTCCTGACTGACTGGTCCTAAATGCCAGCTCCTGGTTCCACATTTTCACTGATTTTGTTTGCAAGTGCCAGACCAGGGTTCTTAGTTGTTTCTGTCTTGGCAAGCAAAATATGCTGGTTTCTCATTTCCATTGGCACTTTAATGAATACATGACCCTGGTTTGGTTTATGTGCTGTTTCTTTCCAGACACCCATTTATGGTTCCTGTTGGCTCACTTTCAAATGACCAGATCCTGGTTCTTGGCTTCTCTTTGGCTCATTTGTAAAGACCAGCATGGGTTACCACTGGCAACACAGGCTACCTAGATACTGGCCAGCCTTTGATCCGCGCAGTGTCGTGCTGGGGCCTGCGGTCTAGTGGGCCACTGTGTTTGGCTGCCTTTTGCCACTGGCCGGACGTCAGAGTCAGCCTCACGGCAAGCGTGGCGACACGGCCGGCGACCAGGGGCGTCCTGTGACCGACCACGTCCGCTCGGGCGGGGTCCGGCCGAGGCCCGCTCCGCTGGCGCCACCCAGGGCGAGCGGGCCGCCGTATCACCGGCAGCGCTGCTGCGCACAAGCAAATGTGTGTCCCAAGCATGGGACCCGCATGACGCAGCCGTCTGTGACGTCACATGTAACTGTATCGGGACAGCCCTGCCGATGAGGAGCAGGCCTCGGAATTTTGTCGTGTGAACTCTGACCCATCCGTCCGTCCCGTCACGCGTCTTCCTGCCGCGGCGCCGGCGGGGCGGGGCGGGCGGGGGGCGTGCCTCGTCTCCCGGCCTCCCCAGCGGCGCCGCCGCCGCCGGTCAGGTCGATAGCCGGGACGCTGCAGGGCCGTGCGGCGGCTTCCGCCGGCTGACATTGCACAAGGTCACCGCTCCGGCTCGCTCTTGAGAAGGTCACCGCTGAGCGCTGGACGCCGCTGGTGATGGGAGCTCCTCCTAACGCTGGTGGAGGCTCTAGCGGGGATTAGCTCTGGCCGTACAGAGCAGCTGCGTGGCTGGACTCAAGTTGTCTTGTGTTGATATATGCTCATGCCTGTATCAACGCAAGACAACTAGGTACCCTGAACAGAGGCGTAATGAGTAAAGCTGAGCTCGCTTATGAGGCGCTCTATCAAATGACTGGACATGCCTCTATACAACATTTGAGACGAGCGAGGCATAGCGATTGGCACCGAAATACAACTGCGATATTCATAAGCTCGTTCACCACACCACCGGTCGCCTTAGTAAATCTGGAACTTAAGCAGGATGGGCTCACTCTGGACGAGGCAGCTTTATAGCTGGTCGTGGACGATCTTATTGCCTGTAGATCTGTTGGCACCGGCAGCGATAGGTGAAGGCAGGGTGGAAATCCGGTTGACTATCGTCTTGTGCACGTCCACACGCGTCGATGTGAGGCGATCTCGTGTGAACTGACTGCTATCCACAGGAGGGCAGCATTTTTGGGGCCGCCAGACGCTCGCCACACGCCGAGATTGACACCCGCTGTCGGAGCGTTATGCAGCGTTACGTCGCAGTGTCACGTCCAGTTTGGACCTACGCCTAAGCCGCTCTGGGTTCTTCTAGTCTAGCTTAAACTTCAGCTGCAGCCGGATCCGGCTTTTTTGTGCGATTACGTGCGTGTGTGTGCGCGCCTGTGAAGGGCGGCTGGCCCGGTCATGGCGGGCCACGTGTCCCGGTCGTGGCCGGCTGTCGCGTGCCGCGCCGGGTCGGGGCGGCCCCGGCCCCGCCACTGTTACCAGGCGGCCGCCGCCACCGTTCGGACAGTAAACCGTCTGCCGCGGCTGCTGTAAGGGAGCGGCGCGCGCGCCGGACGGCGTGGGGGCAGGACTGATGGCGGTATGCAGCAGTCAGTCCGTGTCGTGCTAGCGAGACCAGATTAGAAATGAACATCACATTTCTGCACACAAACGCGGCTTCACAAATGTTGCTGTTTCCTCTTTTTTTCTTCTTTTTTTTGTCAAATACCCGAGTGAATTAGACGAGTCTTCCGACGTTTAGATTTATTATAATTCAGGATGTGCAAACGGTTCCACAGTTTTTTATGTTAATTGAAACCGAAGTTTTCACGCATAATTTTTCTTCACGGCCGTTATATCTGGAAATTGTGCTCACGAACGCCAGATCTAAACGACTCGACATTTATATTTGGCTTGGTCTTGATCGCCGATTAACCAATGGAACGGCAGAATTGGAATGACGTTATTTTGGCGCCATGGATGCCTGGGTGACCTTGAAATAGACTGCATGGAAAGGATTCACATTTTACGGGCATGCAGCTCAGAAACTAGAGAAGTTTAGGTGTTGAGAAGGGCAGGGCTTTGAACTGCACCGAATGATTTGCATGATCGCTATTTCAATTCAGAATCTCATACAAATGTGGAACACTCCCTTTTAAACGTGAAGTGGATGCATATTTTTCTAATTTGCTCCAGCAACATCCATTGCTATACGATGAGCACAATGCAACCAACTGGTCACGTAATAATTGGCTTGCAGTTGAGTCTAGCCTTCAAGGCGACGACGGGGATGTAGTGACAGACACGCTCGGCTCCGGACCGGGCGGCACTGTGTTCGTGCTCCCGTCGCACCACTGCCGTATCCCACATGCAAACTAATGCAACCATCCTGTCTCGGAATAACTCTGGCAATGAGTGGGACATGAAGCCCCAGTCATTATTATTGTAAGCCCAGCATTACTCTGTGCTTCTGTTGAACTTAATGCCAGGATCGAGTTGTGTCGTGCGGAATGTATTTCAGAATTGGGCATAGTCGCCTCCTAGTTGCTGCTGTATCTCTACTCGTACAAATCGCAAGGTCACCATGACGCACACAGTGCTAAACCGCTTGTTCCAGAACATCGGATGGCAGAACCTTTTTGAAACCAGTGAATAATTCAATGCATAACCGTATAGCTTGATATCATAATCATTCGCTGCGTGAATGCGACATCGGCTCAAGGCAACGTCGAGCGTTCTCTGGACAAACAGATCCTGACGACTGGTTGTATGTTAATTGGCTGTTCGGCGAACTCGTGAGCAGCCTATTATTCATGTTTTTGTTCAATCATTCTGTGAAAGCCCATTTACCTCCGATCTCTGCGGTGGAACCAATCAGTTCCACTGTCAGTTCCACTGTCGTCAGTAATAAAAACCGGATAATTTGGAAATACCAAAATTTTACCTGCATCTTGGATAGTTCACCGATACATAAGTTTCATCGCTTTCGATGATATAGACATAAGTTATCGCCCGTCAAACGTGTGCCCATGACGCTACCTTTCGAAAATCGCAGAGGCTATGACACGACGATGATGCCGCCCACTTTCTCCAGTCAGCTGGCGCCAGGCTGTTCATCTGATAGCTGTCACCAGGTTGTTCATCTGATATATGTCGGCGCGTATAGTTAATTATAACATATCACGTGTAAAAAATCACGTTACCATCGTGTTGTCAGGATATGCTGTTACAATATTATACCGTTAGGTATGTAGAGTGCGTATTTTGCTCTTGAATTTACGGCAGGATCGTCCGGCTCTCACCAAAGGATTGGACTATAACTTTCATTAATAATTAATTTCTTCAGCAGGTTTTGAAGACTACCTACGTTCCGACGTTTGACCCGTGGCGTAGCTCTAACAGTATCTTGACATGCGTGCAGCTGGAATGAATAGATAACACTCGGTTTCATGTCAGGAAGGAAAACCGTACAATTCCTTCAAACGTGTCGTGGAGATTCGCCATTGCGTGGTTCAGACGGACTTGGCGACGCCTGAGCTGACACCGTGCCTCAATAAAAACTGTCTTGATCCGTGGTGCTGATTTGCCCGTTAGAATGAAATAATGGATGGCGTTTTCGATTAACGTGATGAAATGGGATGCTGTTGATGAGGTCTCATGTGTAAACAATGAAACAAAATTTGGGACATAACGTTGTGAGCGAAGCCCAAGTTAGCGGCTGCGATATTTGTCAGGGTATACTGATGAGTCTGGCACACCTATGGAAGTCCATGAGTATCCATTACTACCGTGAAGATCCGTGACTGTCCAGAAACCCTGATACCCATAAGTTCACCGCACCGCTTCCATGTGAACGGATACAATGAATATCATATTTTGCCCGGATTTTATTGCCCGACTTTTTGCCCGGCTTGTTATCCCCATTGCAGCCATACTTTTTTCGAACGGGAAACCCGCCTGTTGGTTTTGCTTATCTTCTGGATGGCACATTGAACGGAAGAAAGGCTTATAGTATTTCCCCATCGTTGGCTGGATATTGCCTCTGGTGGTCCACGTGTCTCGCTGCCGTATCGAAAATATCCACAGTGCTCAGCAGAGCTTTCAAATGGCTGGGAACGGCGGTTCGTCCGACATCGGGTGGTCGATTGGACGGTCTCACGCGCCCGTTCAGGCGTCGGAAATGGCGCCGGCCACCTCCGGGCGCTGTTTGTCTGCGAAGTAGAACCCATTGACCTGGCTGGTGCAGGAGCGAGGCGCGGCTGCAGGCGGAGCGGCCTCCGGAGAGTATCTCCCCGGAGACACGGGCTTTTCATGGGCTGATTAAGTCCCGAATTATCGTCGGGCGTTGTTCCATTCCGCAGACGGGCTCGAAATTAGGCCAGCCACTCGAGCGTAAAAACTATTTTGACGTCGCCGTAGGTTGTCGTCCATACACACACAACATTAGGCAGTGCAAATATCACACATGGCGTCTGCATTCCCTGAAGAGCAAGGTGACGTCAGTGTACACTCGTGTATGTGCGGACCGCGGGAGTGTCTGTGTCCTGTCCCATCAATTCGGGTATGTGTGTGTACGCGGCATGTACAGTCGGCACACAGGCGGGAGACGGGGAGAATGTCCGCGACGAGCCAGCGGCTGCCGTAGCTCGCACTGGACCGCCGTGTGGGCACTGTTCCCACACCCTGCGTCCTCGACGGCGGGTGCGTGCGGGCACCTCGCCTGTCGTATATGGCGTGAAGGGCGAAAGCTGCGCCCCGCTCCCTTCTGTGAGCGGTCAAGAAGCCGCGGTGGCTCCCGTGGCGATCCGGCGCAGTGCAGTGGACTGAATCCAGCGCCTTCCACGAACGTCAGGCTGCTGCTGCAATAGTTTATTGTCATTGCCCGACTGCCTTAGGGCAATATTTCACCAGCGTCTGGTAGCGTCTGGACGGCTGCACCAGACGGGCATTGGTCGCGCGCTGTACAACTTGGTGTGCGCATGGGACGCCTTAGCAATCATGGTGAAACAGTAGTGAGAGTACCTTTGCGTGCGGTAACCATAGGAATGTAAAAGGATGTGCTCCGGGGTGCGTCCTTGTCACTGGACTCTGCGTGCATCGGCACGGTCTTGCTCCGTGGGGCGCAAAGGCAGAACTAGCTGTAGAAGATATTACGGTGAATATGTGCAGTGCAGTGTCCATTCAGCGTGGTATGACGTTCCACTGACAGGTCGCGGCATGCATTGTGCTGCGGGACGTCATGTCAGAGTATTGCTTTGATTTCTTAAATACTGTGGTCTTGGAATGACTTCAGCTGGCAGGATGATGACATGACTTCACTTAGGTGCGCGCTCTGCAGTATGTGTGTATTATCCCGTATGAGTCGCGGTCATTGTGTGTCTCCGTTTGGTCCCGCCCCCTCTCGTCGTCACCGTAACACGTCACTGCTTTTACCACGCATGGGTGGTGCGTTCGTGTTGCATTGTGTGCGTCCGCTGTATTGTATGTTTTGAGCTGCACTTGTCTGCATTGCAGACAGACGCAAACGCGGTGGCGAACGGTGCATATTTAATTGTGCCTCAATGCTCAACTGTCCTTGCCGTTGCAGCGCGTCTACTACCTGTCTCTGGAGTACTACATGGGGCGCACCCTGCAGAACACCATGATCAACCTGGGCATCCAGAGCGCCTGCGACGAGGCGCTGTATCAGGTAGGCCGGTCGACCCCGCCGCCGGCGCCCGCCGCTTTCTCCGACGGCCGTGTGACTCTCGCGGCGGCGGGCGGGCCGGCGCCCGGCCACCGCGGCCCGCCCCGCCCCGCCGATGGCGGGACGGCCACGGCGTGGCCAGGTCACCGAGCACAGACCGTCGCTGACCGGAGCACGACTGCCGACGGGCGCAAATTAGATGCCCAAGTTGGCCGTATGCTGCTGACGCGGGCAGCTGTGTCGGATGCCGAGGACTTTGACGCCCTGCCATGGCTGACGCGGAAAGTTTGGAGTGACGTCATGAGTACCATGTGTTGCAAAGCCGTCTTTGAAGCTACAGGCATGTGGAAGCATTAATGTAGTCAGTACCTCCCCAATGTACTCGGTGCTTCCGCAGAAGTTTTCGATATTTGTGAAGTAGTTTGGGGTTACCGTCTACCTCTTTATATGAACTGTTTCAGGTCCAGATTATTTGACCATTGTAGCATGACATCTCACTTGTACATTATGCTCGTGAATTACTGGAAATGTGTGGGTGGGAATGCACGAGCCAGCGGAACTCGTGCTAATAAGTGTTAATATTGTAAAAAAAAATCGTGCTCCATGCCTCAGTATGGCTGCTTCAAGTCGTTGTCATTGATATTCGATACTTATGAACGAGGCAAGTCCGATAGCTTGCGATTACGACGCCATGTGTCCAGAAAATCGTGATGAATATGCATATAGACTGTATGTTCGGCGGACCCTGCATTCCAGCTAAACTAGAAGCAGAATTTGTCAAATATCCATGTTGCATCTTCCACACAGGAAGACGTCTTAATTGGACTAAATATGGCCTTATCCGGCCATATCCGGAGTATGGCGTTGTTGAGTTGGTTCCCGTGGTGTAACCGTTCACGTCAAATTTTCCCTTCGTGGGGTGTAGCACGTGGGCAGGTTCACCGACACACACACACATTTTCTTCGTGAAGTCATCGGTCTCCTTCAGGAAGCTCGCCGCGTTCCGAGCAATTTTCAAATGAGATGCCTTTTGGCCATTAACCGTATTGTTGTTGATCGGCTTGCGCTATCTTGTGTCGTTTTAACACGCTGCTGTGTCATATATCGAGGTTAGTGCCACAGCCTTTGTCGGCTGTGACGCTGACCTCGCCTTTGCACGGCTGGTGACTCAGGGACGGATAATGTCCAGAGGCGGATCATTGGCCAGAGCAGCGGGCCCGGGCTGGGCCGGGCGTGTCAGCCCAGGGGCCCGGGCCAGAGTTCGGTCCAGGGGTTCGGGACCACAGTTCAGTTCAGGAGCCCGGGATATAGTTCAGTTCAGGCGCCCGGGCCACGGCTCAGTCCAGGGGCCGGGGTGATAGTTCAGTCCAGGGGCCCAGTCCAGAGGTCCAGATCACAGTTCAGCTGGGAATGGCGCCAGCCGGGAGGCGTGGCGCTCGGCTGTCACCGCTCTCTGTCCGGGCGCCAGGTGGGTCTGGACATCGAGGAGCTGCAGGACCTCGAGGAGGACGCCGGCCTGGGGAACGGCGGTCTGGGCCGCCTGGCCGCCTGCTTCCTCGACTCCATGGCCACCATCGGCCTCGCTGCCTACGGCTACGGCATTCGCTACGAGTACGGCATCTTCGCGCAGAAGATCAAGGATGGCGGCCAGGTGCGCTGTGTATATTTTGAACCCCTGCCCCGGTGCCGACTCAAAGTATGCCACATTTCCTTGGATTGTGTCAGCTGACCACTTCTTTACCTTCCATTCCATGGTCGTTATTTTCGCCCTCGCATCATGCTGCTTTCTGTTTTGATGTTTTGCTACCGCCTCTGTCGGCAAGCCATCATGACTGTTACTAATCTCCGTTCCACTTTGTCTTTATGTTTGTTCCAATGCGCCACACACCTTTTGGGAGCATGCTGTTTGGGACGTGCCGTGTTGACGGAGGTTACCTGTGTCAGGTCAGAAGAGTTCATGGCACGCAATTGTATTACCTCCCGAATCCGAGCAACTTAATCTGCTGGGACAATTTACGGTTCACAGAGATCCGATGTGTCCCAAACAATTTTCAAAATTTACGCAGGGAATGACGTTGTATTCCGACCGGTGTTGATAATTTTCAACCGTCAAAGTTTGGCAGTTGTTGCATGATTGCTGTCTTGTTATTGCCACAAGTTGAGGGAATTGTGCACTGCACTGACGCTGTTCGCGCGTGCAGACCGAGGAGCCGGACGACTGGCTGCGGTTCGGTAACCCCTGGGAGACGGCCCGGCCCGAGTATGTGCTGCCCGTCTGCTTCTTCGGGAGGGTCGACGACACCCAGTGGGTCGACAACCAGGTGAGTCGCGCTGCATGCTTACGGCTAGATCGCGACGCAACGCGGAAGAAGCGCAGGAATTTAGGATGCTTTTGTAACACATTCCCTGTATTGTTTAACTAGAAAGCATGTTTTTTTTCTCTCAGGTAGATGTTGCGCAGGCGTTTTCAAGCGAAAGTGCGACGAAATTGGAATCGCTGTCTTTTTGTCGATGATTTTGGATAATATGTTGTGCGGTGTTTCTCCGGCAGCTTCGCTCTGTGTTCTGGCGTAGCTTGCCTGCTTCCGTAAGCGCAATGTAAAAGGATTGCATATTTCGGTGCTTCCGGCTTGGGGTGTATCTTATGAGACATTTTTCTGACAATGAATTAGTTTGACTGTTCTGGAGGAGCTGCGCAAAATGGCCTCGCTGCTTATGTGGGATGTCATAGATCCTTCTCATGGCTCGATGGCCACAGCACCAATGCCCCTAATGTGATCCGGAGCGATCGCGCGCCCATGCCCCGGCTCATCAGCACGCCACGGCTTGGCGACCACCGCACCAGGCCGTGCCGTGCCAGGAATGGTGGGCCAGCGCGGGTCAGACACGAATGGTGGGCCAGCGCGGGTCAGACACGCCCGCGCAGCGTACCGTGAAGTCAGCGGCTCCTGCGGGCGGCGTCAGCCACTCTGTGATGGCAGCGCGCCGTCCGCGCACCCGCCGTGACACTCTGATGACGCTTGATGACGCTTGATGACGCTTGATGACGCCTGGCAGGTGGTGTTCGCCATGCCGTACGACACGCCGATCCCCGGGTACGCCAACAACGTGGTCAACACGCTGCGCTTGTGGTCGGCCATGTCGCCGTCCAGCTTCAACCTGCAGTTCTGTGAGTGCAGTGCCCGGCAGTCGGCATCGGGTTGGCGTGCCTTCTGTTACAGACGAGTAGCTCGGTCCTTTTAACCGGGTGACGGCTCCGCTTCAGGACGTTGCCGCATCCGCTGACCTCTGGGTTTGGATATGCGCTGCTCTGTTGGTGCTCGTTCTTTATCGTCGTTAGCTGGCGTTTTGTTCCAGCGCAACTTTCATGTAACCTGGGTTCAGGCATAACTTGTTGCTCTTCAGCCAGCGCAGGGCTGTTCATAGTCTCCTCCTGTCCGAGGCTATATAAGTGATACGCGGCTTATCTGACCATCGAAGCCCGAGCTGAATGCGAATGGCGTCCCGGGACTGGTTTCACGCCGGTTTTGGGTCGCTGGGTCGCAGATGCTGTTTAAGGTGGTTCCAACCTCGGTGTTTTCGGATATGCAAGCGTGAAGGACGTCATTGACATGCAGTTTCGGGCACAACGCGAACTCAAATGAAGTGTCCCGGGCTCAGCATCGGTTATGCTAATAATAGATGGGCCAGGTGTGCGTTGAGCTTTATGACTTAAGGCGGGTGGATTAACCCTAATGGACAAAAGCTGGTTATGTCTGCATGGGCTCAGGTCAATGCCGTCAGAACGTGTCATGCCGCAATCATAGCAAGTGTTAAAGTAAACGATTGCGATGACAACGGAGTATAGGTACAGACTAGCCGACAGGTATACGCATCCAGTGACCATGCTTGTCGAACGGGCGGAGAACTCGGATACAAATTGCCTGTTAGTGTATCGTGATTAATGACGTGCTAGTCCAGTTCCTGCCATCGATCATAAGGCGCTCCCCAGAATTCAAAGGCTCGTGAACTATGCGGCCTAGATTGAGAAGTGCATGTGTTGTCACTCCACACCAAGCATCTAATTTAAAATCGACGCATGTAACGACGTTGGCACCGTTGTGCTTTTGGTCAAGGCTATGTCTGCACGACAGGTCTGACGTCACCACTGCCTCATTCCAGTCAACAACGGCGACTACATCCAGGCGGTGCTGGACCGGAACTTGGCGGAGAACATCTCGCGCGTGCTCTACCCCAACGACAACTTCTTCGAGGGCAAGGAGCTGCGTCTGAAACAGCAGTACTTCATGGTGTCCGCCTCCGTGCAGGTAATGGACTGCCGAGAGCGAGACGGAGCGCGCACGGACGGTCGGCGGCTGCGTGACTGTGGTGGTGCGCGCAACACCGTGCTATGTGTGCGTCCGGGAAACCAGAGGTGTGGGGTCCGAGTCCTCGCGGTGTCCGCCTTCCTGCCAGGGGAAGAGGCAGGCGACACCACGGAGCCTCAGCAGCAGAGTGCGTCGTAAGCCCAAGTGACCACGGCGACGACCGTAGTATATGTGGTGGATGATTTTACTCCGTGGGTTTCGTGACCCTAATTTCACACAAGGGAGGATATGGCAAAATAGCATAGATGGAGAAGGGACACTTTAAATGATATATCAAGTGCTGGCTTGTGATGCTACGCGATTACGGTCAGGTATGGCCACTGCACCCCTTCAGTCCATGATAGTAAATAACACAGTAGACGTTGGCCAGTTCAGTCTCATTTACCATGGTGACCGCGCCTCTGCGCATTCTGACGCAATTTGCCGGCATTTCGGATGCGGTATTGAACATTCGCACACCCCAGTACCCTGAGGATCCTCAGTACCTGACCTGCATGATCAACGGTCATGCCCGTGCTGTCGTCAGGACATCATGCGTCGCTTCAAGTCCTCGCTGCACGGCAAGAAGCGCTCGACTTGCACCCCTTCAGTCCATGATAGTAAATAACACAGTAGACGTTGGCCAGTTCAGTCTCATTTACCATGGTGACCGCGCCTCTGCGCATTCTGACGCAATTTGCCGGCATTTCGGATGCGGTATTGAACATTCGCACACCCCAGTACCCTGAGGATCCTCAGTACCTGACCTGCATGATCAACGGTCATGTCCGTGCTGTCGTCAGGACATCATGCGTCGCTTCAAGTCCTCGCTGCACGGCAAGAAGCGCTCGACTTTCGAGACGTTCCCGGACAAGGTGGCCATCCAGCTGAACGACACGCATCCGTCGCTGGCTATCGCCGAGCTGATGCGCGTCTTCATGGACATTGAGAAGCTGCCCTGGGACACGGTCAGCACCACCTCCCCTTTGTGGGGCGGGCATTGATCGGAACGAGTCACGCTGCTTGTAGCCCGCACTGCATCGGCATTTTATTAATTGTTGCAGCTGTGCTACGTTCATGTGTTTTCTGGGCCGTCAATCGTGACTGGTAAATGATATGCCTCTTGATTGACTCTTGTTTCACGGGTTATTTTTTCTTGGCGTAAAATGGCACAGCAGTCACAGGGTCCGAACGTTGAAATAATGGTCATCGTCGTGATGTTTGCCTAGTTTTAATAGCGTGCATTCCGTTCATATTTAACAAGAAACATCGGTGAGAAGAATTGACCGCGGCCAATGCGGACAGTTTGTGTAAGCTACTGAACGGTACCTTGGCTCGCCACCTATATGAGTTAAGATTGTTGGCTTTATCAGTGTCCGTCCATCTTGGGCTGGTTTCGGAGCTCCGCACCTGGGATGATCTGCGCGTCACTGAGGTTGTGTTGTGCGCGCAGGCCTGGGACCTCGTTCACCGCACGTGTGCCTACACCAACCACACCGTGCTGCCGGAGGCGCTGGAGCGCTGGCCGGTCAGCATGCTGGGCAACATGCTGCCCCGACACCTGCAGATCATCTACGACATCAACTGGAAACATCTGGACGAGGTGAGTGTGGTAACTGCAGCCCCGGCTGCAGATTT